GTTTCCCCACAACGCAACACGTCAGTGGTGAGTGTTAGTCAGTAGCTTTGAGTCCTTTATGACGCATCAGTCTGATTTTGAACAGATGACATCAGGGTGTATTTCTTCTTCTTTTGTAAACAACTGAGCTTTTCTATGATCAGCCTTTTCAAATACACTAACCCATATGTCTTGTTTATCTATTAGAGGAGCTTGAAGTTTGGTGGCATCATGACTGTAGGGCATGCAAAGATTATTTAATGAGATACCAAGTTATTGCATTATACAGTGTAACATCGGGGGGTATGTATGTATATTTTTTATAAAAACTGGCCATCCCTATTGTTTGAGGAAACTGTGTTTTCTACATTTTATTTTGCTTAAAAGTAAATTGTCCTCAAATGATTGGGGTAGACTGTAGGCCAAAGATGAATTTATGCCCCCTAGCTCCACCATTGCACCCAGTGGTGAATAAAAGTTCCCTTAACTGGCCAGGATCCGTCACTGAGCAGCTTCGGACAAGCCCAAAAAAAAAAAAAAAAAAATCTACCCACTTGAACATCTTCCACCAATTTATTTGACAGCTGAATTGTAAATCTAAGCAAATGTTTGACATTTTTAATGAGCATAAAATAACTAAAAATAAAATTGCAGCACTTACTTTTTGCTTTAGTTGGCGAAACACAAAGTTTGACTCGAGCTGAACTGAGATTTGCTTGTTTTCATTAAATGCACAACAAGGAGTCTTATCAGGAAGGCCCTGCAGGCAGGGTTATTGCTGTGTGGGTGTGTTCTTAAAAATAGGTTCTGGTTTTGCCCCAACCTATCTGCTGTTGGGTTCATAGGTCAGTGCAGACTCCTGTTTAAAGACAGTGTCTTGTCTGCAGCAGTGGAGGAGGCTTGTAACTGCACTTACACTCTGCAGCTCTGGTCGACCTGCTCACTCGTTTGCCAGGCAGAATTTCATTCATCTTTGATTTCTATCTTTAGTTAAAGGTAGGTGAACTTCCTTTTAGTAGAACTAGTTATTACGAAGCCTGTGTTTAATCACCAGTTTGATTTTTTTTTTAACATCTGCTTTAGTTGCAGGCTTATGTAGGTGCAGATAGTTAAGTGGTTAGGCTAGGTCTGTCAGGATGTTTGTAAAGGTTTTTCTTTTACTCTGAATTTTGCAGAAACTTTGGTAACGATACAACTTGTGCAGTTTTCAAGACAAAGTATCGGATGGCATTGCATGTCCACTGAAACGTAAAAAAATGAAACAATGTTGTGCATGAATGATTGATCTCGTTATCGCAGATGAAGGAGCTCCATACTTTTAATCATCAGCTGATAGGACATTGATCTCTTCAGTGCTCAGTGCGTTATTTTTTTCAAGGGGTTTGTTTTAATTTCAATAGACTTTTTTTAATAATTTCATTTATTAAGCATTTCATTAGGGTTAAAGACATGATTTATATCCATCCACTCAAATTCATTGGCTGAGATCAGTTTGTGGCTTTACTCTTGTACACTAAAAACATAAGTGCTGCTATTATGTGTATCATGTTTGAAGATAAAGCTTTGCCTTTTGGACAAGTCAAATTCTGAACGTGTATCAGCCACAACATTGAAATGTTCGACAATGTTACAATTCAAAGTGGAGTTGAAAGTTTGAGGTATAACTTTTTAACTAAACTAGCTGAAGGTCTGCAACTTTAACTGTCAAAACCATAACTGTCTACAGGAACAAAACTTGAATTAACCTCATTAAATTGTTTAATTAAATGTTTAAATACTATGTATGGAAAATTGGTTTCAATATGAAATTAAACTACAATAAACTGGTGACTTTTTTTTGTATTTTACATGTTGAGACAAATTACAAAACTTTCTCTTTTTGTTTTATTATTTTGTAGACACTCTTGAATATAATTTAGATGCTGTGAGTCTTTTCATTATTTTGAGATGAATAATAAAATCAGCTGTGAAACAATAAAACAAATATGCAGCGTTAAAAATGAAAATAATGAACATAAAATTAAGTTCTTGGATATTTATGTTTAGTATTTTTTCTCTAATAAAAGCAGAATCGTATAATAACCTTGTTTTTAAGCTTTTTAATGACAGACCTTCCAGTTTTAGTTGATTTAAGGAAAACCTGCCATCATTTTCTAGAATGTGTCATTTTGATGACTCATAATTTATTTACGTGAACAAAACTACACAGTTTTTCCCTCCCAAGTATGAGTAAAATAACATTTTGTCAGGAACTTGGACTAAAAGTAACAAAAGCTAGCAAGTTACAAATTCAAAATAATCAAAACTTTATAAAAAAAAAAAAAAAATTCTAGTGAAATCTTAAAAACTAATTAATCCAGCGCTACAACTAAATTTATAGGAAGCCGAGTTCACAAAGCAGTTATGGGTTCATATTTCTGTCAGAAAAACTAATTTTAAGTGTTATTAGTGCCATTATAAACATAATATGTTTAATAAAAACAGTCAAAACTCTGCTTAAACTAGCCTTTCCAAATGTAGTTATGAATATAAACATTATTTATTTCCTTGTTACTTTGTTACTGAGAGCTGCTGTAGAGGCGCTAAAGACAAACATGGCTCCACAGCCACAAGTTGATTTTTTTGTGTTAGTGACCAGAAAGCTGTGCCACATTTGCCACATCTAGATTTAGAAATCACAACTCATTTTTATGTGCTCGACTTGCAAAACGACATCCCCGGACATGTACGGGAGTTTATTTTGTTGCTCACCTCTGCCACTGTTGTGCACGCCTCGGCCCACTTTGTACGCACCATCGCAGCTGGTTCGGTTTATTTTATGTAGCACCAAGTCACAACAGAAGTCATGTCAGGGCACTGAACAGAAACATTCATATATAAAATTAAGTTAACACTATTTATCTGAGGAGCAGACTCATCTTGAGCAAGCAAGAAGGCAACAGTGGAAAGGAAAAACATTTATGATTTAATCTACTGGAGCACACTTTTAACATAAAAATGTACACGTTTGAAGATTTCAATGTTTCGTTGTTATCTCGGGTGTAGGTTTTAGACTTGGACGTGGTTTCTATCAGAAGAGTTTGGTGCAACAACAAGTTGGAGATGCTCTAAAACAAAACTGGGGAGGGTTTGAGAAGACTGCTCTGACGTTGATTATTTTAAGAGAAAATTTGGTGAACAAACGTTTTTGAACATGTTCAAAACTGAAGCCTCATAACTCTGGAAACTGAGAACCCCCTGTGACCTTTTACCCACCCAATTCTTCAGTGTTCCTGGGCAACATGGACCTCCCTCGAGCAGAACGTGCACTCTTAACACCCAAAAAAATAAACCCGCCGAGCTCCAGAGAAACCTAAACAGTCAAACATTAGATCCCCAGATGTTTCAGACAACAGAGATAAAAGCATCTGTGCCAACATCTCTGTGCAGGACTCCCCCTGGACTAGTGTTATGATGGTGGTTGGTCAGATATTGGATAAAAAATGTTGTTTTTTTTATCAGATAGATGCTTTTATAATAGCAGACTTTTATTCTGTTCCAAAGTAAGGTTCCATACAATAATTTCTCTTTTTTCCCTCAGATTCTTTGTTTTGCTGCATCTTGCTACCTTGTGGGAGTGGAAAAAGAAATCAATGTAGTAAATATTGATGTTTTAGTTGGTGTTCAGAGACCTGCAGTGTGCACTCTGTTGTAACTAGTGTTGACAGCTGTGAGGAGGATATGTCATCCCATTTGTTTTTAACGGTATCTTTGCTCTGTACAGCACAATTATGTTCCCTCATGACGCCGGTATAAACTTTGCTAACAAGCTGGCGGGCAAAAGTGTCTGTGTGCGCAGTTGTCTGGTCTATGTTGTGCGCCTTCTCAACATTATCCAACAGTATTCCTCATCTGACCCTTCTTTATTTCTGTCCACCCCCTCTCTCTATGCTTCAACCACCCACAGGCTTCGCAAGAGACCTTATGAGGATCATTTGACTGGAATGATATTGCTGCTTCGGGCGTTTTAAAGTGGGAGAAAACAAGCAATTTGTTACTCAATCCTCAGTAGAGAGTTTCTTGTGCTCCAAAATGCTTCCCGATTCAGTCATTAGATCTGCTATTCTAAGATAAAGGTGTTGCAGCTTCGGATGTTGTTTGTTTACAAGACTGTTATCCTCGTTTTCCAGTTGTTTCCATAAAATCATGTGTGAATTGATATCATCTTGCAGCTCATCAGTGTTTCAGGGCAAGGTTTGTACGCTTTGATCTGCCTCTGCAAAACCCAGATTATTGCAGAAACTTAGAGCTGCTTGATTATGATCAAAATCACAACCATGCTTATTGTCAAAATAGTCACGATTATTGAAAACAGGGAATTAAGCATCCCACTTTAAAGTAATGTTTATTGAAAGTGTACAAAGACTAAGCCGTATTGTTGTATATGTGATTGTGACTTATTAGATTTATAATTTAAAAATACTATTTTCATTTACTTTGACTTTAATTATGTTTAAAAAATGCTCCCCATATTTCTAATAAGTAACTTGTCCTAGAACTGTTTTAAAGGATTTTTGTTGGATTTGAGACTGTAAGCCTGGGATTTAGATAAATCAAGTAGCTAAAGCTAATTAGCATGATTTTCCTCATTGTTTAACATTTAAACATTTGCAGAAAAACTGCTAAAACTAGTCTTTGTTTGTTTTCTTTTCTATGGGTTATGGTTAAGAAAACGGTACAGATTAATTTAAAATTTTGTTTATTTTTGGTCGAAGCTTCATGGAGCCAGGGACCAAATAACGCATTTGGCCCCAGAGCTGCAGGTTGCAGACCCCTGGTGTAGGTTTTCAGTCATCCAGGGCATGGCAAATCTAAAATAAAAAATATATATATTTTTTTTAAATTATTTTAAAAGACCTCTGATCAAGACAAAGCATCCTCATGATATTCACTGAGCTGACACAACCCTTAAAGTTCCTCTGGATATATTCATCACTCTAGAAGTAAAATGAGTCCATTTCTGTTTTGTTTCTTTTCCTCAGGGGACCATAAGTGAGGGCGCAATGCAAGTGCACGTGCACACCAAGTTCTGCTTCCTGTGCGTGCTCACCTTCCTCTTTCAACAGTGCAACCACTGCCACGGAGATCAGAACGGTGGACATCACCATGACAACCACAGCGACCTGCAGATCTCTGAGGCTCCATACGTGAGCGCGGCTGCCGGGTCTCCAGACTCCAGAAGTCCTGAAGGAGACGCTCTGGAGGAAGAGCAGCGCTTCTACATCCAGCAGCTGTTCAGGCGCTACGGTCAAAGGGACCGCTTAGATTTCCAGGGATTTGAGAGCCTGTTGTTTAGTTTGGGCCTGGGAGGAGTCAAGGTGGTAGATGTGGATCACGAGCATCTAGGCCACGATCATGTAGCCCACCTTGACTTGCTGGATTTGCAGGAGGGTCTGCACTCACATTCATCCACAAGCAAAGGCCACCACCACGAGCCTGATCATCCTCACCAGCATCCCCGTTCCCTCCATCCCTCAACAGAGCGGGGTCCAACAAACTGCAGCCACGCTCCAGCTGTGAGTCCAGCTGCTGATGTTCCTGCCAAATATGACCATGTTCACCATCATGGACACACTCATCATCACAGTGAGGAGGAGGATAGTAACCATAAACATTCTGATGATCATGTGCAGGATGCACATGATGATAATCACATTCATGATGAAGGGGACCAACATGAGCAGGTGCAGGTTAACCACAAGGATGTGTCCTCTCAACCTAAGAACCATAATCACAGTGATCACAGTGGTGCTCATAAACATCACACCCATCAAGTGCACACAGACACCACTGCTGTTTACCCCAAACAGATCCCCTCTGCCAATCTGGAGCCATCCCAAGTCCATCAGTCATCTCCGCCTCCAACAAAAAGGCCCAAAAGGCTCAGAACGAAGGCCAGGGGCCAGCAAGTACCAAACAAATCCCTCTCCCCTGACACATCTCCGTCAGGTGATCACGAACATGAACACAGTCCTGATCATCATGAAAAACATACTCACAGTCATTCTCATAAAGACAAGAGAGAGGCTCCGGGGGCGCCTGCCACACCTACACCGATGCTCTCCGGACATCTTGGCAGTCTGTCGCACCAGCACGAGGAGGTAGGACTTTTTTTAATGAACGGTTGCTGGTACATGAGAACAACTCGTGAGAACTTTTCTTCCTCCTTTCAACATTTTGAAGGAATGTTAAATTTCTTATCAAATCACAAAAAAAAAAAAATCTTTATGAAGTTCCAGTTTATCATCTCTTCCTCAATTTTTTTATTTTTATTGAAACTACTTTGGAATACAGTAGTCCCTCGCTACTTCGTGGTTTTACACTTATTGTGGGGGGAGTGGCTAGGCCTGTCAGGATACAATTTGCTGGGCGATTAATTGTCTCAGAAATTATTGCGATAAACGATAATATTGTTTGAAATTTGACAATAATTGGTAATTATTGTCAAATTTAAGAAGAAATGTTTAATTTGTTTTGTGTGTAATACCTTTTTTTGACCACCGGATGGCAGTATAAGACTGAACCGAAGGATGGATAGTGAGGGAGCGAGCAGCGTGTCTCTTTAAGAAAAATGGGAGGGAGGCTCCTTGACGTGACATGGGCTGTCTCTCTTTGGTTCTCAACATGGCGGACACTCAGTGTGGTTTGAGCTCTTTAGCATAGCGCAAAGCTTTTAATTAAAAAAATCAATAAACAAGTTCTCAGCTTATTTTTGCAGAGAAAAACAACTTTTTATACGAAAGCACGGGTTTCGACCAAAAATTTTGGAGCTTCTACAAGACAGATGTTTTTTCCCCCGAGGTCAGCCTGTTAGCTTAGCTCATTACTTAGCTTCTCAGTTTAGCTGCATTTTAACCATCCAAAAACACAATTTTGGATGGTTAAAATGGATTTTAAAGAGAAAGGAGAAAGGGAGGGGTCAGTGAAGAGCACCGGAGTTGAGCTTTTTGTCATCCGATGTCTTCAGTAGAAAAAGATAGATGAAGAAACGATGAAGCCAATAAATGAAAATGAGGTCAATAATTTTCATTTATCATGTGATTAATTGATTTATCGCGACAGGCCTAGGCGTGGCCCCGAAACCCCGCGATAAACCAGGGACTACTTTACTGTAAATTATTTCTACAATACCAAAATGTTAGTTTTGTTAAGAACATGACTTGTTTATTGTATATTTTTTTAACTATCCACAATTAATTTATTTAAATGAATGAAGAATTTTTCAAGTCCTTGAAAAATTGAGATATTTGAACAGCTTACATTTTTGGTAGTTTTGGCTTTTACCTACTGTTCTGCAAATTTTAGCTGTTAGCGAACATTTGCTGGTTTAAGCTTTAATCTATTTCTGATTTTGGCATTTAGCCATCTTTTTTTTACTATTTTATTACATAACTATCATTCTGCTAGTTTAGTTTTAACTTTTAAGATGGAGTTTTTTGTATTTTGGTATTTGGATACTTTTGCTGAACTTCTGTGTAGCTAAAGTTTTGTATGTATTATTCAGCTAACTTTAGCTTTAAGCTACAGTTTTACTTGTTTTTCGTTTTTGTTTTACTAATTTATCTTTCCCAATTGTTTTAATCTTAACAATGAAGTTTCAGCAATTTCAGTAAATTCCAGCAAGGTCACTCAATGTTCAGTATTTACTCTGAATTTTACCAAATAAAATGCAATTTTTATAGTAGTCTTGTTTTTTAATCAGTGAAGTACAAAAATATTTTAATGAAACACTCTGGGGGATTAAACCTGGCACTTAAAGTGACGCCATTCTGGACAGTTTTTTGTTAGATTTAAGTATTTAAAAGATTGATTAAACCATTTTGTAGAAATATTTTCAGTATGTCTCAAACGAGCATCACTTCTTTTTATTTATGTTAATTTCTAATAAAAGAAAAATATGCCTAACATTTTTGTATTATTTATTGGTCACCAGTGTTCTTTTTTATATATATTTCTTGTCTTTGTATCTCCCTGCCCATCCAGTGTTTGAACCTCACTCAGCTCCTCGCCTACTACGGACTGAATCCTGAATCCCTCATCTCCCCGAGCCAGTTCACTTACCTGTGTCCTGCCTTGCTGTACCAGATAGACAGTCGAGTCTGCATCCGTCATTACCATCAGATGGAGGTGGAGCAAGAGGCCCTGGAGCCTGTCAGTCCTGGTAAGAGCCAAGCATCGATTTGCTTCATTGCAGCAGAAAACGAGAAGTCATTTCAGCCAGTGTCAACTTTCCCAAGCTTTTCTTGTAGAATTGTGCCTTATACTTGCAGGTATTTCATAATGTTTTCTGACGCATTTCATGACAAAACGATGTGCTTGTGCTCATCTTACATTTCAGGTGGTTTAAGACAAACGTTCCTGACTTAACCAGTGCTTTGCATATAACCTGACTAATGATACCAACAAACGGTGCCTTTTAGCCCATTGTTCTTTTATCGCAGTCCACCCTGCTTGTTTGATCATTACATCATTGTTGCGTCCTTTTAAATCAATGGTTTATTGGCGACATCATCACTAGGAGTGCACCTCGGTCATTGATTGTAGAAAAATAAAATCCAATCAAAGACTGCAGACTTGAAGACATTCTTGTTAGCGTTAGCTGTCCAAGTTGAAACAGTCACATCAAAGTGTAAGCACTAGTTTGACAACGCATGTTTTTCCTTTATACTATGATAACGCTGGGATGCTGATAATGTAAGGTTATGTCTTGTCTGTAGTACTACCTTTTTTATCCTCCGAAGGGAGTTTTTATGAATATCCTACTACCTGTTCACATTTGTATATTTCTGGAAGGCTGCTAATTTTGACTATTCATTAGGAAAATAGCTACAGCTGTAATCTCAGCTGCAGTTGTATTCGTGTGCAGTGTTGTTTTGTTTCCCTAAATGTTGGTTTAAATATAGTTGTGCATTTAGCTAACATCTGGGGTATAAAAGGACCAGCTGGAGTTTTATAGTGTGTGTGCAGGGATGTCACTAAGACTGTTTGTTCTGTCATTACGGATGGTAATTGGCTGTGTAATGTTTACAGCTATGTCCAGTTAGCATGGTATCAATACACATATTCTGGTCATATTCTCAGGTAAACACAATGGTGAGATCCTCACACTGCAGTGGATATTGAATTTTGAAATTTGAGTCTGGACTGAGTCACCGACACACTCCACCTTTGTCAAACTTTGTCAAGGCGTTGCACTTTAGGATGGATTGATGCAGTCAGGGCCATGTAAAACCTTTTGGTGGGTAGCTCATTATTTTACAGTTTGATTCAAGCAACAGGGTTGCCCACATCAAAACGATAATCTGTTGTCAAATGTAGGGCCAAGAGATGAATTACCTAAAGCCACTTTGCCATTGATAAGTGCGACTCCACTCGACTCTCGTCTTATCAGTTCTTCTCAGGTGTATGGGATTTGCCACTGTGACTTGTTTCCCTGCTCTGTGGGCGGAATTGTAACTCAATGTGTCCGAGCCACTCAGCCCGTTGTGGTCCTTAATTGCCCTATAATAGGACTTCAATTTCTGTAGTTTATCCCAGCAATGTTTAAAGTCTGAGTATAGCCATGCTGTGCCATCATTTCCAATATCTCTCTAAATGAGCTCATTTCTTGTGCCACCGTCCGGCTCACGCTGAATCCTAACATCGACCAGTAAAGTTAGGAAAGTCTGTACCTCATCACTGGTCCACAGCACTATTTTTGGAGCTTCCATACCAGAAACTAGAAAAAACAACACACTCAACATGATCTGAGAGGAAATCGAGGTTCAGAAGTAGTTTTTTGATTTGCTGGGAGCGTCATCCAGTGACGTAGCTCCTCTGACCAATCAACGGCTGCTGCCTGCTTACATCAAAGTCATCATCTCAGAGCAGTTCGCTTGTAAACACGAACAAGGTGGTCCCATAAACCGGGCTGAGCGGGGATGGGTACTGGCAATGGGCAGGCCCTTAACTAGTGCGGTGTGATCTGGAACCGATGAGAGTTGAGACCGTGGAAAAGCGCCATTAGTGACTGGAAGGTGCACCTTGCACAGTAGCCTCTGCAAGAGTGAGTTGTTTTTTTTGTTTTTAAACAGTAGAATATCCCATGAAATTTTCCCTCTTACCAGGAATCACACATGGCCACAAACAAACAAAGGAAGCTAGTTGGACAACATGAGTGATAAACACATATTATGTGATCCTCTGATGAAAGCGTCAGGAGCTCTGGAGACGAAGGTGCAATTTGAGTGGTGCTGAGTTTTGACCGAGCATCCTGCCTTCAGTCCATTAAAGGTGACCAGTTTGACTCATTATATCCATCAGTCTGTAATGCTTCATGGGGAAGATGCTCTGGTTTAGGACTAGGCCTGTTGCAATAAACAATAAATCAATTAATCGCATGATAAATGAAAATTATCGACCTCGTTTTCATTTATCGACTTTATCGTTTCTTCGTCTTTCTCTTACTGAAGACACCGGATGACAAAAGGCTCAAGTCCAGTGCTCTTCACTGACCCATCCCTTTCTCTCTTCTCTTTAAAATTCATTTTAACGATCCAAAAGTCGCGTTTTTGGCTCGTTAAAAGCAGCTAAGCTGAGAAGCTAAGCTAACAGGCCAACGTCAGGGTGGGGAAACCTCCTTCTTGTCAAAGCTCCAAAACTCACAGTTGAAACCTGTGCCTTTGTGTAAAAAGTTGTTTTTCTCTGCAAATGAAGCTGAGAACTTGGTTACTGATTTTTTTCTTTTAATTTTATTAAAAGCTTTGTGTGAAAAATGCTATGCTAAAGAGCTCAAACCACACCGAGCGTCCGTCATTTTGAGAACCAAGCAAAGGAATGAGAGACAGCCCATGTCACGTCAAGGGGCCTCCCTCTCATTTTACTTAGAGACACGCTGCTTGTTCCCTCACTATCCATCCTTTGGTTCAAACAGTCTTATACTGCCATCCGGTGGTCAAAAAAGGTACTACATGCAAAACAAATGACCATTTATTGTCAAATTTCAAACAATATTATCCATCCATCCATTATCTTTACCCATTTATTCCATTTTGGGTCACGGGGGTCGCCGGTGCCCATGTCCAGCGATCACTGTGCGAGGCCTATTTAAAACTGTGTATTGTAAACACAAATGACATTGAAACTTTTTATTTGTTTAGCAGTAATAATTTGCCCTTGTGTATGCTGACTCATTTCCTGCATGCTTGAAGTGAAAAATAAATGTTTATGTTCCCACGAGTCCTCTTTATTTCCCTTCATATCCTGATCACATGCCTGAGTCAGGTGCGGTTTTTAAACAAAACTCAACAACGAAAAACATTTCTGTGAACTAAGTGTGAAGTCCTGCTCTGGGAACTCTCTCTGTTTCTATCTTTGCAAGTCTTTTAAAATATGAAATCAACATATCATGGAGTTAATAAGTTACAGCTTGTGAAATAAAACTCATAAAGCCATAAAAGTTTTATACCAATCAAAACTGGAACGAACTCTGAAACTTAGCTGATATTTTCACAACTTTTTCTAAGTGAAGCTCTGAGATCTGATAAAGAAAATGTCTACCTGTGTAATCATCAGAAGGATGTGGAGTTTTCTGTTTATTTCTTTTATTCACCTTTATTATTCCTGCTGTGTGTTTGTGTTTTTAATTTTAATTAAAACTCGGGCAAAGCCGGTAAAAGTTGTGAACCCATCACTGTAAACAACAGCACAACGTGGCAAGTATGGGGTCATAAAACGTTCTGCACGACCTAATTTAATTAGAATTAGAGGTAGAAAAGGGCACTTTTCACGACAGATAATCAGTGCAGCAGCAACAGACGTGCTCCTTAAAGTTTTTGGGGGGTTTGGGTAGAATAAAGCAGCAAGCACTTAAGTTCAATTGTGAGAACGTTCCATTATTAAACACCGTCCCCTCCGAAGGAACCTGCATCACATGTGCCTTAGGCAGCACCGTGTCACCGCTCACAACAACCATAAAAATGGTAATGATGATGGGAGAGACAGCACAAACAAGTCAAAAGGGCAGCAATGGCTCCTCATTAGTGGGGAAACTAGAGGCGGTAGATTCTTAGAAATGCTGAACTGAGATTCAACCGCAGACATCGGGAAACGCTGCGGAGCTGCCTCTCATCTACCTCCTGCTGGTCTTCATGGGGGAGCTCAGACAATGTGCTGTTCTTTCTCTCCAGTCCCCACTCCCCCCTCTTTTTGCACTGTGCCAATTAGGAGAGTCTAAGCGACACCGCGGGCCATTTTTCTGAGCCATGGCTCACAGGAGATGCGTAATTGGAGAGAAGCCACAGACCAGTTGGTCTCCCTCTCCTCTCTTCTGTTCCTTTATCGCCGACTTCAGATCGCCCCCATTGCATCACCTTCGCAACTGCATTCACACCGAGCTACACCTGTAAAAAGGTAATGAGCTGGAGAAGTAGATGAGCTGCAGGAGTGCGAGGGACCTGCGATGATGTGGTGATGAACTGTCTACCTGATATACAGTTGCCTCTCAGGGTTGCACTGTGCTCGGTCCGATGGCGACAAATAGGAAAGCAGTGAGCTGTAAAAAAAATAAAATAAACGTTTCTTTGTTATGCAGAATGATGCTGTAACAATAAAACTGCAACATGAAGGTTAGCTTTGAGGTCTGAGCCGTCATGAGCCTGTCCGATTTGTCCATCTTGATGACGATGACATGGAGTAAACTGGTGAGTGAGCTGATGTGTCAAGAGGTTGTTATCTGCTTCACACTGAAGACCGTGATGGGAGAAGCTGCGTCCATCATCATAAGTAGCATTTGGGAGTTGGTGAGTTTCCAAGGATAGTTGTTTTTATTTTAGTCAAATCACCTCCTCCATGCCCCTGTTCCTCGAGTGGACAGACTGCAGCCATCAGAGAGGTGTTTTCTAATGGTTTTACATCCTGCAGCTGGATAATGGTTCGGTAACAGCAGGATTCAGTCCCTCTAAAGACCACTCTGTCAGGTAGAGGTGTGTTTCTGATCATCTGAAGCCGCCCCACCTGGGGCCGATTACACCAGAAGAAAATGTGTCTTCTGTATAATTTTACACTCATTAGCTGTTCTTTTTCTTCCTCTGGCTCTGTGCTTACTGTCATTTATAATAATAAAGCACCACAATTAGAGTTGGGTAAAATTATGGACAAGGTTGTAAAATATATTTTGCAGAACTGGAGCAAAACCAGAGACTTACCGGCAGAGCACCTGCTTTGCAGCACAATAATTGTTGGACACTTGTTTGGTTCGTTGTTACCTTTAAAATAATCTGAAGTAAATGGTGTGAAAGTTGCACATCACATGCACACAGCATCCAGTTAATCAATGTGGGGGGGGGTTAAGCTGAATGTCAACTGTGAAGGACCCAGCATCTTCGCTGGAGCAAACGCAGCAGCAGCAGCTTCGGTGTGACATTGAATTTCATACTACATTAAACATTTGGTCATCTTTGACGAAAGAATCACAAACTTTTCTCTCTCTTACTTGTGTGGGTTTTGAGATGCCTCCCTGCCTGACAGCTGGACCGGCACTTTAAATGATCGCGTGCCTTTTTCACTTTTTCTTTTGTGTTCCATGACTGTGGCCTTGAATGCAAAATGAGGGTCGGCGGGGGTAGCATTCTGCTGGAAAGTTGTCTCGTATTTTGTGCTTCAGGCATCATATGTCATCACAAGGACACACAGACTGACATCCTCAGCTGGAAAGTTTCATTCACACTCAAACAGAACAAAAAACGGTCAAATAGCATCAGGCAGCAGTTGAAATATGTTAAAGCAGCAGCTGTTGGGGTTCTTTTTAGTCCCCTGTTGCGGGGGGAAAAGGGGGAATTGGAAATACCCTGTATCCGTCCGTCTATCCGTTCGTTAACGTTGTGAGCAGGATAACTTAAAAAAGAAGGGATGTACTGACTTCCATTTTGGTGTGTGGCTACATCAAGGAGAACAAAAGGTTATATGGCCAAAGGATATATATGAAAACCGACCACCCCTATCATTTGAGGAAACTGTGTTCCTGTATTTATATTGCTTAAAAGTAGGGATGCACAATATTATCGGCATGGTATCGGACGATATTAACAGTAAAGTTAAATATCGGACATTCCATCAAAATAACTCACTGATATAAAAGGTGCTGTTTATAATATATAAGGCATACAATTTACCATTTAAGTTGGATATTAAACATAATCCAAGTTGAAGTGTTACATCATTTTCGGTCCCCTTTTTGGTATCTGCATTTGGTAGCAGGCCAAAGTGACAAAGACCATGCAGAATAATGTTGTATTTTAATTCCACAGCAGAGAAAGCTATGTAGTCTCAGCAAATAGGTCTAGGGGGAAAATATTAGTATTGGTATCGGTTATCAACCAAATAAGTTTTAACATATTGGCATGTCTGATATCGGCCAAAAATCCAATATCGTGCATCTCTACGTACAAGTATTTTCCTCAAATGATTGTCAAAACTAAGAAACGTGCAGACTTCCATTTTGGTGTTTGGCTGCAGCTAGGTATGGGCTTGGTATAAGAGGGATGAATAAAAAAAAAAATTAAAAAGTGCTGATACTTTTGTTTTTAGGGAAGTTTTCCCACACAAAGGGTTCCTGGCGACTTGAAATCAGGGAAAACCTGGAAAATGGCTTTTCCAGACGGGGAAAACTGAGAATTTAAACGATGATCTGCTGATTAAAAAAATTATCTTTCTGAGATTTTTAACATGTCCATGTATCAATGCTAGTATTTTAAGATCATTAAGCCTATGTTCTGTTTCTACAGTGTACATGTGTACTTTTGTCCTTACCAATAGGCTCTGGTGGCTTTTTAGCTTCTAATGTTATACAAAATAATTAATTATTAGGAATAATTGCCGTATTTACGTACTATAGGTTACAGTTTCAAAGTGGCTGAAATATCTCTTCAATTTTCAGGATTTACTCGGGGGAACAATCGGGCAAAACTAGAATTCTGTTTTAATGAAATGCTGGGAACCCTGACACAGCAGGTTTAGATCAAAATTATTGTTCTGAACAAGCCATGATTGCTTCAAATGTTTCTTCGTTTTGTCCTGGCTGGTAACAAAGTGCTGTTATGGGAGCTGTGATCACCGTGAATGAAGTATTTGTTGTACTCGTCCAAATCATCACATGTATCGTTGCATCCCTAGCTGTTACCATTGAAACGACTGAAATATTCTTTTATTTGTGGCTTACAGTTGTCCAGTGATGTCAAGCTGCTCACTGAGGCTCGCTCTCGTATCACTTTTCTGTTATCGTGTCTTGACACTGCTGGATTCAGCTCAGAATCCTTCTCTACACCGAAAAGGTCGCAGATAATCTGGCTCCAGGCAGCAGAACTGACCTCCTGACACCTTCTATCCCTGTTAGATCCTTCAGATCTTCTGAGCAGGAGCTGCTAGTCGCGCTCTCGACTGGGAACACATGGGGGCTGTTTGCTGTGCCGGATCACAGCCGATGAAAGTCCCCCTCTGGGACTCAGATCAGCAAACTCTGAGGATTTATTTTATTGTGTGTGCTGCCTCGTACACTCGCTGCTGTGCTGTGTGTTGCTTTTAATTGCTGCACGTCTCTGTGTTTTTAAATTTTATTTTAAAGGAAATCACGTTTTCACCAAAGACACTAATAAACTGTTTTGTTCTCGTCAGTGTGGGTCTGGATCTGGGGCTTTGTGTCCATCACCATCATCAGCCTGCTGTCTCTGCTTGGTGTGGTTCTGGTTCCAATCCTTAAGCAGTCCTGCTTCAAGTTCCTGCTCACGTTCCTGGTGGCGTTGGCAGTGGGCACGCTCAGTGGCGATGCGCTCCTTCACCTGCTGCCTCATGTGAGCTCACAGCACTTAACCAAAAAAAATAAAAAGAATTCAGCTGTGCTGTATTTACCACCTTAATTACTTCCTAGAACATTTGTTTATCTTTAGTAAAGTTGGAGGTGTTGGAACAACTTGCAGAAAATGAAAATAGCCACCACAGTTTGTGTAGAATTGCAACAATTTAAATTTTAGAAAAGCATAATAGAGCGATGACTCAGCTTCTATATAAATCTCTGTCTGCTCGTGAGCCAATGTTTGTTCCTTCTGCAGTCTCAGGGACAACACGACCACAGCCAGCATGGCTCCAGCAGTGACACTGATCTGGGAACAGCCTTTGATGGAGTGTGGAAGGGGCTCACGGCGTTGGCCGGCATCTACCTCCTCTTCATCATCGAGCACTGTATTGGCATGTTTAAGCACTACAAAGACCAGAAGGTGAGAGCGACTTGATCCAGGTGTAAAAAGTTGATTAAATCAAGAAGCTGCAGCTGTTTTAATCTGAAAAGACATTTCTGCACTTCGCTCGCTAAATTAAAAGTGTCCAGAGCTGCAAACTCTGCTAGCTGTTCCAGTGTGTACATGAATACAGTGTAGGAAATATTTTAATTTTTTTAACAAAAACTTTGACTCTTTTTTTTTTCATGGTAGAAGAAATTTTAACAAACTATTTATGAGAAAAGGGAGGAAAATGTTTTGTAGCTTCAACCTCCTTTGATAAAAATTTAATTCTGAACTATGCAGCTCATTTTAGCCCTTTCTTTGTAGAAACGTCAAATATACATTTCATTTAAGGACAATAAAACATATAGGTTGAGTGAAAATAAAAATCAGGACGATTTGTTGAATATTTCATTGACACATATTTAACAAAAAAAAAATTATACTGTTCAAAATATTTTACTATTTACATTAAAAATCCCAAAATATCTAATTTCTTCAAAACGTGGTTCACTTTTGAAATCTACTTCAGCAGACTGGCTCTACTTTCATCTATTAGTGCTTATTTTAGTTAGCATTGTGTTGCTTATTTAGCTACTTTTATCTAGTATTTTGCTAATTTTAAGCATTTGTCACTTTTAGCCTTTAGTTAAGAGTATGGTACTTTTAAATTTTTTATAGCGTTTTACTACTTTTAACCATAAGTTTGCATTTTGTTACTTTTAATTTGAGATTTCCTTCTTTCATCTTTTCGCTTGTTTGCTCAGTTTAGCTTTTAGCTTGTTTTTTGCTAATTTTAAGCATTTGCTATTTTTAGCCTTTAGTTAAGAAAACGGAACTTTTCCATCTTATATAGCGCTTTAGTACTTTAAACTATAAGTTTAGAGTTCTGTTACTTTTAATTTGAGTTTTTCTACTTTCATCTTTTAGCTTGTTTGCTTAATTTAGCTTTTAGCTAGTGTTTGGCTTTTTCAGCAAGTGTTTTAGTCATTCAGACCTCGGCAGTCGCATTTTCACCGAAACTTCACATTTTCGAGCTCTGTTGATTCATAATGTTGTGATCTGATGTGTTCACAAAACTTTTTGTTCTTCTCAGCCTCTTGGATGGAAAGTGTTAAAATAATTTTGGGTTTCTGTGGATTTGAGACAAAGATCACACTGTGCGGCTGGAAGTTGGATTGATGACATGGTTATCAACAAGCTAAAAAACTACTAGCATGATCAGATCAATCTGTTTCAATCCTTGCATTAGGTTCTTCTTCGTACAGGAATGTTGCTAAAATTAACCTTTTCTGTTATTGTTGTGAAATTATATAAAATTCATTTTTGTGATATTTTTGGTGAAAGCTACAAAGAGCCACTACAGACGGCCCAAAGAGCTGCATGTGGCCCCAGAGCCGCAGGTTGCAGACCTTTGGATTAAGCTATCATCGAGCACTTTGATGTTGTCTTTGAGTTTTGTTTTTGTCGAGGCTGTTTGAGGTTTCTGGCGTGAACCGAGTGTCTGTAAATAGAACGTGTTGCTCACAGGGTATGAAGGTGAGCGAGGAGGGGAAGATTGGCAGGAAGCTGTCAGATCACAAGCTAAATCGGCGCTCAGATGCAGAATGGCTGAACCTGAAGCCACTCAGTGAAGGTAAGAGGTGTTCAGGTGTGCAGTTTTCCCGCCTGCAGCTGTCACTCTTAACATCTGCGCTCTGATTCAGACCCGGAGAGCACAGCCGTCTCCTGCGACAGCGGTCACAACGACACACAGCTCACAGAGCTCCAGACGCCCGACTCCCCCACCAACAAGACGCCGCTGGCGCTCTCAAACCCCCAACAGAACCAGCAGTCACCCACAAAAAAGAACGTCCACAAGGCCAAGAAGCACGGACACTCGCACGGCCACGGACACTCTCATGGAGGGAACTGTCACTCAGACCAGGAGATGAAGGACGCTGGGATAGCCAGCATTGCCTGGATGGTCATCATGGGAGACGGCATGCACAACTTCAGCGATGGCCTCGCTATCGGTAACTAAACTTAATCCTAATCATTAAAAAAAAAAAAAACGACAAACCAGTTTCAGGAGCAAAGATACTAGATTATTTGTATTTTCACAGGCGCAGCTTTCAGTGCCAACCTAACAGGCGGCATCAGCACCTCTGTCGCTGTTTTCTGCCACGAATTACCTCATGAACTGGGTAAGACCGACAAGAATGTAGAAAAATACTGTGAAAGTGCACACCACGTAAATTAACATCCACAACTGGAGTCAACCCTATTCAGCATGGCTGCTGCAGCCGACTAGCCTCAAAAATGTTTGTTCAAAAATACATTTCTGTTTGTTGATGTGAAGATGATCAGCGCCTCTTCTCTCACCTGACCTGAAACTTTAATCAGAGCGAGTCTCTCATCTCCCCGCCTTCGAAACGTAAAAAAAAAAAAAACGAGCCACATCAATAATCATCACCGTTGTCATCATGCTGAGAAAAAAAGAGCTTTTTTCCCCAAAATTACTAACTTGTGTCTGACAGGACCGAGACGACATGTCAATATCTGTCAGCGAGGATGATGGAGCGCACCTGGCACACCTTCTTCAGTCCACACAGCTGCTCTTACTGGCAGTTTGTCCTCTGAGGACACATCTGGCAACGTTAAATTCAGCAGTGATTGTCTTTTTATGTTAGTGAGAAAATGGTGAGATTAGAAGTAAAGGTGGGCGACGATGTTTTGCCTGACTCTGCAAGTTCAAGTCAAGTTTGTCATTCGCATCACATGTGGTACTTGAGGTGGAATGAAATTATGTACTCAGGATCCCAGTTACAGTAGTCTCTCGCTACTTTGCAGCTCATTTTTCGCGGACTCTCTCCATCGCGGTTTTTCAAACTAAGATTGGACATGACACACAATTGGATGATTGATGGATGAGCCGCACGGTCGGCATGGAATTTTTATTTAAAATAAATTATTTTAAATTAGTTGGCACCTGCTGCACCTTTATGCAGCCCACAGCTGCAGGAAAAGCTTCCTGCTGCAGCTGATCAGCTGTTCTCCATGCAGAGCAGAGAAGTGGGCGTGGCCCAGAGCGCTTGCAGGAGGCACAGAGCTGAAATCATGACATTCTGTGCTCAGAGCGTTTAGAGTTTAGAAACATTGTTTAGAATATTGCAATAGT